CGGGCGGGGGGCGGGGGGGGGAGGAAAAAAGACAGTCAATTAAAAAATTCCTTGCCAAACAAAGCTATTCTCATTAGCAGAGATAGTTCAATGGAGGAAATAAGCAAGTACAGTAGTGAATGAGGTATGTTAGAGCCTCTGCTGGAGCTCTATGGATGATATTCTGGAACATTCCACAAGTCAGTAGTGCTGGAACAGTTTGTATGGTGGGGGTACTGACAGCCACAGAACCAAATGGTAAACCCTGTGCAAGATGGAAACCATCACAATCCAGGGGGTGCGGCAGTACCTTTAGTTCTAGCACCTACAGAACTAGCCTTTGAGTTGCACAGTCTTAGGTCAAATGCCTCTGGTCAGCCTCCAGAGGCTCAGGAGAGGGCACATCTCTTTAGTAAGAGCCGTTGGATTAGCTCTTGTCAAAGAGACATGGAGGCTGCGTCTAGACTGGCATGATTTTCCACAAATGCTTTTAACGAAAAAGTTTTTCCGTTAAAAGCATTTGCGGAAAAGAGCGTCTAGATTGGCACAGTTGCTTTTGCACAAAAGCACTTTTTGCGGAAAAGCGTCCGTGCCAATCTAGACGCAGTTTTGCGCAAGAAAGCCCCAATCGCCATTTTCGCCATCGGGGATTTTTTGCACAAAACAATTTTTAGCTGTCTACAGTGGCCCTCTTGGGCAAATACAGTTGCGCAAGAGGGCTTTTCCCCTGAATGGGAGCAGCATAGTATTTGCGAAAGAACACAGACAATCTTATATTAAATCGTCAGTGTTCTTGTGCAAATTCAAGTGGCCAGTGTGGACAGCTGGCAAGTTTTTCCTGCTTTTGTGGAAAAACTTGCCAGTCTAGACACAGCCAGGAGTGTTTGTTGGTTTCATGTGGATGCAACCAACATCTAGATAATAATTCTTTCAGTGAAGCCTTTGGGGTAGAGGTCAGAATAAGAGTCGAACTGGTTATATTAGCCACATTCTCCCACCACTAAGTTACAATCCACTGTTCTGCCTCATGCATTAATTCGAGAAGAATATTGCTGTCTGATCCACATATGACTGGAATTATCAGAGGCCTGGAAATCAAACACCCAGAAACATACCTTGTCGTACAATTAACCAATCCACAGCTGAGAATGAAGGCTGGACATCAGGGCATCCTCAACTGAGTGTAGGACAATTCCTTCCATAGACAGGGTTATTCAGCAGCCTTGTCTCAAGGAAGGGAAACGGGAATGCATATTTTTCTTACTAGTTAGATACAAAAAGCCTATATTTGAGTTTGAAGAAAGCCCAACCTACAGCATTACTTACATTTGCTTTCAAGTTCTATGCCACTCCTACTCTTCTGTGCTGGCCACCGAGTCTCTTCTTCAAAGAGAATTTTAAAACCTCTGTTCCCCACAGACCTATCAGTCTTGAAACGCAGAGTCAGGTAGCTGCTGCTTGATAGCAGGTGGAAAGACTTTGTTTGGCCACATAAACTAGCTGCAAATTACAAAAAGCAAGCACTTACACAATGACAAAGCAGATTTTTTTGGTCAGATTATGCCAGCCTTCTTCCTAGGCAGCCACATTTTTAAAAATAAAACCCAAGGCAATTTGATAGGTAAAACTAGAATAAGGACAAAGATAACACCTGGGGCAGGAGTCCACTTACACCTCTTTTGCTAGCACCGTTAGGATCTTAAGACTTGCCAAGGTCACTCAATGTCTGGATGTTCCATGTTTAATCTACTTCTACAGGATGTGGGGATACTACTTTAAGTACTTGTAACCCCTTTGGGGTTTGAAGAGCATAGCCTCTTAATCTTTAAGGGAGTAGGCAAGTGCTAGTTGTTCCAGCAGAAGGAAGTGCTGTAAAGGCAGGGAGTGGGAGTTGAGGAAGAGAGAGCACAGAGACAAAGACAGGAAAACTCCAGTGGGTGTGACTCTGGAAGTTGCCGGTCAGGAGGGCTGCAGTAAACAGGCCCTCAAAATGAAGGAGCTGAGAAGCTGCCCAGAGCCTGAAAGGGACAGGACAGCTTATTGGGGATACGCCAGGATGAGTACTGTGCCAGGGAGAAGTCATCCAAAACAGACGGACCAGATCTGGACCCAGTACCACTGCTGCCCAGAGCTGCATGGGGCTGAGAGTCTTGGGGCTCATGGCTTTGAATTGGGAATGAGGAAGGAGGCTGTTTGTTAGTTATGTGGGGAGCTTGTTGCTCTGTGGCTATGCAGACAGCAGCAGCAGAAGGCAACAGCAGGGTTTGTTGGGAGAAAATTTACTGGTTCCAAAGAGGACCAGAAGCACCCAATACTCATCACTGGGCTGAAACTCTGCTCAGGACTCCAGATGCAGACATGCCGCTTGGTGTCTGCCCTTTCCCATTGAACCACCACTGGACTTGTGGGGCCTTGTGTTCAATGAAACATCTCTCATTGCTCTAAGGAGCATTTCATGCAAGATTTCACTGAGATCTCAGTGTACATCAACACCCTGCATGAACATCATGACTAGCTACACAGGGCTATGAGCAGCTAACAGAAACACAGCCATGGAATATGGGATAGGTACTCCTGGATTGTAAGGGAGTTTCCCTGCTGCATTCCTGATCACAGAGCAGACTCCATCTTGGCCACAAGGGCACTAAAAAGTTACTTACATAAATAGATTAAGGTCCTTCCTGGAGAGGGTGAAGCTATTTTTCTCCTCCCAAGACTATTCAGGAGTGAGATGCTCTGGGTAGTTTGTCAGTAAACTGAGAAAAAGCTTTGACAAAATCCTCCATGTGTTTGTGTGTCAACATACAGTACTTTCTTAATTATCAACATAACAGCTTCAGACTCTAAGGGTACGTCTAAACTACATGGCTCCATTGACGGAGCCATGTAGATTTGTTTTTTGGCAAAGGGAAATGAAGCTGTGATTTAAATAATTGTGGCTTCATTTAAATTTACACGGCTGCTGCGCTGAGCCCACAAACAGCTGTTTGTCGGCTCAGCGCACTAGTCTGGATGTTCCCCTGCCGACATGAAAGCTTTTTATCGATATCCCCTGTAAACCTTATCCTACGAGGCATAAGGGGGATGTCGATAAAAGGCTTTCAGGTCAGCGCGGAGTGTCCAGACTAGCGCGCTGGGCCGACAAACAGCTGATCAGCTGATTGTCGGCTCAGCGCAGCAGCCATGTAAATTTAAATGAAGCTGCGATTATTTAAATCGCGGCTTCATTTCCCTTTGCCTGTCTAATCTACATGCCTCCATCGAAGGAGGCATGTAGTCTAGACACACCCTAAGGGTGTGTCTAGACTACAGGGTTTTGTCGACAAAAGTCCACTTTTGTCGACAAAACTAAACCTGCGTCTACACTACCGCTGAGTTCTGTCAACATAACGTCGACAGAACTCAGCAGTTTTGTCGACGCTGGTAAACCTAATTTTACGAGGAATAATGCCTTGTCAGAGTTCTGTCGACAGAAGGCATTATTGCATCTAAACTGTCCTTTGCATCTACACTGTCATGTTGACAAAGCAGCTTGCTTTGTCGACAGAACTAAATGTAGTCTAGACGCTCTTTGTCAACAGAAGCTTTGTCGACAGTATCTGTCGACAAAAGCCTGTAGTCTAGACATACCCTAAATGTTCTGTCAGAGCCCCAAGAAAGGGGAAAAAACCCACTACCACCTGCCTGTGACTGTGTTTGCCTTGCATTGGAATAAAAGGGGTTAAGAACAGCCCTTTTTAGGAGAGAGGGCTGTTCCAGGAGCCAGAGCGAGGCAGAGGAATTCAATCAGGGTCAGTTTAGACCCTACAAGAAAGGGCTGCTGGGCTGTACAGAGGGAGGTGGGCTGAGTTGCCTAACAGAGACTGGTACAGCAGACAGAACAGTGCAGGGAGAGACCAGGGAGCCAGCAGGGCTCCAGCCTGATTGACATCTGGGTGCTGGTCCTGACTAAGGGACCCAAGAAGGTACTAGGACTGGGGAGGACTATCCAGAGGAAACAAAGGCAACAGGTCCACCCCCCTTGCTGGTGATGTGCATGGCCCATTCAGACTGCAATCAGCCCCAGGGCAAGAGGCTACACTACGGCCACCAGAGGGCAGTACTTAGGGGATGGGGTGCTGTGGCCTGGGAGGGATGCAGGTCCTAGCATGAAGGAGATGGAAAGGGCAAGTAACTGTGGACAAGACACCGCCAGAAGAGGGCGCTCCAGAGCTGGCACGAGCTAATTCTCTAGGACACCAGCAGCAGACACCACAATGACGACAATCCAAACCTGTTATAGAGCCACACTCAAAACGAGACATTACTGTCACGCCCATAAATAGTTCCAGAGAGGAATCTCAGAGTTCAAATTTCTTCAGTGTTCACCCCAGTCCCCACTCGATAAGTGCTGCAGAAAAATGCTAGCAGCAGTCACTACCTTTGGAAAACCTATAGTAACTCATTTCCCTCTCCCTTACCTGCTTGACTTCCCTACAGAGATTACACTCACATCATATGTTGGCCAACTTCCCTGAGACAAGGTGGGAGAGAGATAGAGATTAACCTACCGAGAAGCTCTGAATAGTGATTTGGGCCATCATAGATGTTCAAAGAGTCCCAAATGCAGTCTTTTGCATTCTCTGTTACAAAGTCTACGATCACAGCTTTCAACCTATTTCCTGAAGTGGAATAAACTGTCCAGGTGCAGTTCAGCATGTTAGGATAAGTGTTGGGATAATTAGGAGATGTTATCTCAGCTGATCCAACTGGAATTAGATCAAAGACTGGACACCCTTAAAGAGAGGGGGGGGAAAAAAAAAAAGTATTTCAGTGATTCAGATTTTGTCCCCTGACAGGAATCGGTCTTCTCAAACATTCATTAAAAATGATCTGAAAAGTTAGAGCTGTGCAAACTTTTTTTTGTATCACTGGCAGAACTAGGAGATGGAGAGAATTTTTTTTTTGATGCTTCAAAAGAAGCATCTTGTTCAAACCAAAATAGAAAAGTAGGTTTTCCTTTCAGCTGAGCATTTAAAAAAATTGAACTAAAAATTCAAAATGAAGTCATTTTCAATAGTCTAAAAAATGCTTTGATTTTTCCAATTCTCTCCCACCCCTTTAAATAATTCAGTTAAGTCTATAAAAAAAGGTCTCAGTCAACCTGAATCAATCAGTTCCCTTCCCCCTCACACTTCCCCAGGAAAAAACAGTTTCAACCAAAAAGCTTGTGTCCAGCTTTGGAAAAAATTCTGATCCACCACAGTTTTCTAACAAAAGCAAGCAGACTTACAAGTTAAATTCTATTGATCTCTGCTTAAGCAAAGGTCTTATGATACTAAGATCTACCTGTAGAACAAAGGTAGTTCTCCATACAGCTTTATCTAGTACCCTGAACAGGTATATGTAAAATGAGAGAGCTGTTCTAGAAGGAAAAGGGAGCCATAATTGGGAAGTGGGTTGAATTCTGGGAAGAACCCAATACCAAGCTATCCAAAATCCTAAAACCAGGACAATTTAACTGCAGAGCAACATTTCTAATTAGACCAGATTCATACCTGGAAAAACCATCCTTCGGATAAGCCCATTGAAACCAGAGGCATGACAGCCACTCTTTTATGTAGTAGAGTAGGCTGCAAACCCAGAATGTACTTATTTTAAAAATAAAATTTACTCTATTTACCCCAGACTTTCTAAAAAGGCCTTTTGCTGTACATTTATATAGTAGTGAAAGGACAGTCACTTTTAGTGACTGCATCACTAGCAACTTGGCATCACACACATTTAGAATGAGACAGATGCAAAAAGTTGATAGACCACACTAGGTCCATTTATTTAAATATTTTTACCCTGCGCCTCTATTTAAAATATTCAAGGTGGCAGTGATGGGGAGAACTGCAACCATGGAGAATGACATGGGGAAGGGTCTAAAAACTGGATATCACTAAGATTCATATTTTCAAGCTTAAAAAAAAAGTGTGTTCCTTTTCCCAGAAATGGCTCCACAGCCTAGCCAGTTTAGCTAGAACTCTAGGATGCTAGACCGAAGGGAAAAAAGCAAACTGGATTCCCCTTTCACAACCAGAGTCTGAGGGAGTGCATCCTGGCTTTGAGCTACCAGTTCACTTCTCTGGTCTTGTGAGGCAGCTCACAAATGCAGGAACAAAAACAAAGCAGTAAGCATCTGATATTAAAGAAACAGAACCATGGTAGCATCACTCATACTGAGTGAATGGATACAGTTAAGACACCAAGCTGGCTATATTACTGGCTACAAATCTGGTACAGAAGTTCACCATGGCAGAGCTTTATAAAAGCTACTTATGGGTTCCTTGCCAGCTGTCCTGGGAAGAAGCAGACGGCACATCTACACTACAGCGTTATTTTGAAATAAGGTGAGCGACCACACAGCAAGGCTGTTATTTCAAAGTTATTTCAAATTAATGGGCTTCTTATTCCAGAATAATAAACCCTCATTTCATGAGAAAAATGCCTATTTCAAAACTGCTATTTCAGAATAGCAGTAGTGTGGATGCTCCACTGCTACTATTTTGAAATAGCTCCTTCCCAGGGACATTCAAAGTAAGTCACTCGGCAGTGCTTCCTGGGGCTCTAAATCGAGGTGGCACGTCCATATTAGGGGAGTCTGCCTCAGACTAATCTCAAGGCTTCTCTGTAGTGTGGGTATGCTCTTTCAAAATAATTATTTTGGGAGCTGTTATTCCAAAATAATTTATTTTGAAATACCCATAGAGAGCTAGAATGGATCTTACCTTTAGACGCAGCTTTCAATTTTCTTAAAGCAGAACCTAAAAAAAAGAAACAGTTGATCATGAACAATTAAACTCACCATACAAATCTAAGAATTCCGAATGCCTCAATGGACAGACATGAACTCTTAATTAGTTAAGAGCCAGACTGACACTGGGATAAGGGGGGAAACTTCCCCCTATATTTACAGTAAGTTCTACAGGATTTCCCCATACACAATTCAGCAAACCTGAAAGTATTTGCAGATAGGCTAGCATTATTTTCTTACAAGGATAAACATTTACTGGAATTGAGAGTATACTTGGAGGCTGCATCTAGACTGGCATGATTTTGCAGAAATCTTTTTTGTTAAAAGTATTTCCGCAAAAGAGAGTCTAGATTTTGTGCAAAATCATCCGTGCCCAGTATAGATGCGCTTTTGCGCAAGAAAGCGCCGATAGCCATTTTAGCCATCGGGCTTTCTTGTGCAAAAAAATTAAGGTGCCTGTCTACACTGGCCCTCTTGCACAAGTATTCTTGCACAAGAGGGCTTATCCCTGAGCAGGAGCATCAAAGTATTTGCGCAAGAAGCACTGAATTCTTACATTAGAACATCAGTGCTCTTGTGCAAATTCAAGTGGCCAGTGTAGACAGCTGGCAAGTTTTTGCGCAAAATCTTGCCAGTCTAGATGCATCCATATTGGGTAGACCTATTACGTGTACCAATAGGGACTGTTGTAGGGGTTAGCAGTTTGGGAGAGCAGAATGGGTAGGGTCACATAAAGATATATCAGTTAGGCTGTTAGAGACTCATTTCACAGCTGGGAAGAGATGCAGAACTTTGACTCTTCAGTACCTAGTGAATAGTACAGACTAGGTTGAAACCAGCTGACTCTCAATAAGCCTTCTCTCTGGAATAGATACGTTGGGAGCCTATCTTTATTATAATGTTTTACATCGGGGCAAGGAACCTTTTTTAGGTTGGGGGCCATCCCTAGTGAGGGATGTAGAACTGTTTAAACAGTTAACGATAAGCTTGGGCTTATCGATTACTGTTAATAGTTATACCCTCTTGTATCAGAGGCAATGGAGTGGGGCCAGCAGGTGGGAGCTGGTACATGCCATAAGATGGCATTTTTCTGCCATGCACTGGCTCCCACAGAGTATAATTTTAGGTGTCCGGTATTTTCTGAATTGTTTTACCCGACAGGAGGTGAAAATACCGGACTCTTTGGTTCAGTACCGCACACCTGGCAACCCTACGGACCATCCCCAGCCAGAGCAGTTATGCAGTCTGGCACAGGGGCCCTTTTTGTCCCTGTCACCCAAGACCCCTCCCACCACTGCCTCACCCTCTCCCCGCAGAATGTGACTTCGGGGATTACTGGAGGAGCCTGGTGCAGGGCAGCAGCAGAGAGCTATGTGAAGCGGAGTGTACTTGGAGGGTGCAAATACGCTGCTTTGCCACAGGGAGGTTTGACTGTGACTGCCACCTTGTGCCAGGCTCCCCCGATAACCCCAAAGCAGAGTGCCAAGAGGAGAGAGAGCAGTGGCAGGGAGGGGGGGGGGGTGGGGGGAGGGGGAGGGGGGAGGTTGTATAAATTCTGCTATGTATTTCTTTGATACATTGCATACCCTTTCCTTTATACTCTGCTCCCATTCCTCCGCTGAAAACCAACTCCTTAGCCAACTTACCAGGTTGTGTATCATGGAAAGAGTAGGTCAGAATAAACCCTCTTGAAGCCACTGCAGCACTGGATGTGAAAGTCAGCGTCACCACAGGCCCATCAGACTTTAAAGGATGGGGTGAAATTTCACCACAGAAGTTACCTGCCAGGTAGTAGGATTCCAATCGATAACCATGAAAGGCACAATGCTAGGCTATTGCATTTTACCAAGACCTGGTATACCGTACCTCAAAACAAGCAAGTCTCAAACCATGCCTGTATAAATCTCTCATGTGCCAGTAAGAAATTAAATGAAGCCTCAATGTGTTGGGACACCTTGGAGTTCATTCTACTTTTATTAACAGACTTAGGAATTATCTACACCTAGAGCTGCAGATGCACAGTGTAGAGGTGTCATGGTAGCGCTTAGCAGAGACATTACCTACACTGAATTATATCTACATAAGTTAGCAGCAGTCAATGCTGCAATGATGCAGCAGAATTTCAAAGGTTACTGTATACCCTTACAAACAAAACAGAACCTTCCTCACTACAGAGAAAACTCACTTTGAGTAAGAAACCAAAATGTTAAAAACATACATGTTGTAAGCATTAGGGTGGAATGGCCAGATTGGGAAAGAATGTTTTCAGATAGACCTCTGAAGGCTGAAAATTAATCTTCTAAACAGAGATTGTACGCTACAGTACTAATGAGATTTTAAACTTAAAGTCTGGTAGCACTTTATAGACTAACAAAACATGTAGATGGTATCATGAGCTTTCGGGGGCACAACCCACTTCTTCAGATGACTGGATTTTGGGGGGGAGGGGGGGAGGGGAGGAAGAGAAGGAAAAAAAAGGAAGGGGGCAGGAAACAAGGAACAGAGGGTACCTTTCCCTTCAATTCTTTGGACAATGTGTGTTATAACAGTATCTTTGGATATTATTTTGTTGTTACACCGGTCTCCATATGAAAATGACTTATATGAAAATAATGAATCAGAGGGCATCTCCTTTTTTGGAGAAGGAGTCACTTCAGTGCTCTGTAGACCAGAATTGTTTGAGACATTGTATAATAATTAACAGCAACTCAAGGACGCCATAAAAGTATCTGATGAAATTTATTTCCAGTTCAACTATTATCTGCTTACTATCATGCACAGCAGTGATGAGATAAGCACAATTGGAAACACTCCATGTGCTAACATATATTTGTCCCTATGATACTGAATGGCCAGCAATTTGGTGACTGTACATTTGCCTTAGAGGCCAGTGTATCAAACAATGAAAAACCAGCCAGTTTCATCTGTACAATAGAACTAAAGAAAGGGAGATTCCTGGAAATGAGGCGCTAGCTGGAAGATGCTCTCCGAAAGTCAGTAGAAATAGAAACAAAGTTGGAGTTCCCTTTTTCACATGGCAAATTGCCTAGTGGCCTGCTTAGAAAGATAGCAAGAGTTTTCCCCTCTTCCACTTCCAGCAGCACCACAAGCAAATCTCTCACCTATTAACTCCTTGCTTGGCCCCAATCCTTCATACACCATCAGTTGCCCATGGCAATCAAACAGGGTCTTCTCAGTCCAGAAGGTCAGGAAATCAATCCGAATGATGGACTTTAAGGGTGCTACAATTCGCCAATGGCAGCTACAGGACACGAATGAAGAAAAAATTCAGAACATTCATTAATGCCCAAGCCACTTGTACCCTATACCCGGCTCCCATTTTCAAAGGGATTATTACAAAAATGAGGTGGAAGGAACAAGGACGGAAAAGAACGAGTGTTTTAAAATAAAACAAAAAACAAAAAAAAATTGAGATTCTAAACCTGGGTGGAAGGTTGGTTTAAATCCATTTCTGGTATAGAAATTATGAAAAATAAAATATTCAACCAGTTGAAACTGTACATAAAATTATGACACTGATTAAGAAACTAAATGGACCAATGCCATTGAGACCTCCTAGCTGCCTGCCTGCCTGTCACTTCACTGAGCAACTGCCTCTACTCAACACTCCATTATAGCAGGAAAAGCTGATGGGAGAAAAGGCAAGGAACTAGATTAGTCTTGCAAAAAGGGTTGTGATAAAACAGAGCAAGTGCCCTTATGACAACTTGCCTGAGTTGTTCTACGCCAGCCATGGCAGTGGAGATAGTCCACTTGCAGTCTGACAACATGATGGATGGATTCACCAGAACAATGACAGATTTGGCCACCCGTTGTTAAAAAGGGTATAGCAGAATTAGCCCTTCTGATCCCCATGTCTCTGTGAGAGGGGCAGACTGGTGCTATGACATGAGCTCATCCCACAGCATCCACAATTTTATAAGTTTTCAGACTTACAAGAAAGGGGAGTGAACAAGTTCACTCACCTGGTGGTGTTTGGATAGCCATGGGGATATCCTGGTGACTGGATCAATCCTTCCCGGTCTGTGAGAAGGACATCCCTGCAGCGGGACAATTCTTGGTTCACATCTTTGGGCCGTTTAACTGTCTTCCCGGTCTTTGGCCCTAGAAAAAAAACTGGATGTAAAATTGGGATTCGATTTGCTACTGTCTTTTAAAATAGACTTCTACCAATGGCCAAGGCAATACCATTTGAGTATCTCTGGAAGATGGACTCTAGGGCTATGTCTACACTGCAGGTTTTTTATGGAAGAGGCTATGCAAATGGTGTGCTCATTTGCATATCTTCCTATTTTTTTTGGAAGAGGTTTTGCCACTAAAAAGCTCCATGTAGACGGGACCATCTATCAAGAAAAAACCCTTTTTATCAAGATTTACAGGATCTTGATTTTTGAGGAATAAGGGATCTTGTGAAAAGCTCTCTCCCCCCTGACAAATAGCCTTGTGTACATGAGGCTTTTTAGCAACAAAACCTCTTTGGCAAAAAGAATCAGAAAATGATATGCAAATGAGCACACCATTTGCATATCCTCTTCCATAAAAAACCTGAAGTGTAGACAAAGCCTAGGTTACAAGCCTTCTAAAGAAAACTAATATTAAAGTGAGTCATTTCAAAGTTAGCCTGGAAAACAAAACAGTTGAGTTACCAATTAGATAGCAAAAGTGATTATTTTTTGTTATTCCAGACATTTCTGCTTATTTAACTAGTCTGTAAAAAGAAGCAAACTCGTCCATTTTAGTGTCATTGAAGCTTTCTTCTTTTAGTGTTTTGCTAATGTTTCATATTGGACTCTGTAAAATAAGCTCTCAATTTTGGTGCTCAATAAGAGCTTAGCTGGTTTCTCTAGAAGAGAGTCCTCTGTTCTAGATCTGCCCCACTGCCTTCTGGTGTAGTTTGAATTTGGGGTTGGATAGGTCAGCTCATTCTCTACCAGCCATTTCTCTCTAGCAGGGGGCGTGGTACCCTACCATACCTTGGATTCTGAAGACCATGTACTCCATGCCAAAGGCAGCAAGGGTAACAGAATGGAACACCACTTTCACCACAGGGCCAGGACTCAGAAAGGTCATAGGAGTCAGCAGGACACCACACAGTTCAGCTAGGAGAGAAACCAACCCAAACAAAGGAGAAATATTAGAGACAGTCCTGGATAAAAATCCTGTAAGTGCAACTTTCAATTGCAGGATACAAAATTCAGACTCAGTTCTTTCTGGGGAAGTTGAAGATTAGGGGGGGGAAGAAGTACAAAACCCTAATACATGCAGTACTGGGAAAACTATACAAGCCATAAGTCATTTATCTGTATTTTTCAACGTCTGTCTTTAAGAAAAAAATATTTAGCTTGTAAGAATGTATTAAAAAATCATTCTGCATAAAAGGTTTACACTTAAAAAAATTGATTAAAGTTATCATGGGGAAAACTATGGAGGAATTTAGAGAGGTCTGACGAATGACAACTGACATTGAAATTCCAAGAGTTAAGCTCTATTCATAAATAAAAACAATGGTCATCACATCAGAACAAAGTAAAGGTCTTTAAATCAAACTTAGTTCTCAAGCATTATTTCTCTTACTTTGCCTATCTGTAAAGTTCCATGACCAATGGAAATACTTTGCAGGTTTGTGTACACAGTACAAAAAAAAAAAAAAAAAAAAAAAAAAAATTACCAGCAACCTAATCCTTCCAAGCTTACCTATAATTTATAGATCAGAACTCCATTAATATGCCATAACTTAAGGACAAAGTAGAAAACAGAACTGTGGTCACGCTATATCCTGCAGATAATTGAAATCAGATGGACTGTTAGTTTGCCATCTAGGGGGCCAGATTAACATGTGGGGCTCTGCTGGGGGATACCCTTTGTGTGGGCCTCTGAATCTGAAAGTTTCCAATACCCTGTTGCACTCTGTCTTGTTTGAATCTTCTCATTCCCATTTATTTTATTTCCCCTCTCTCCAGTTTTTCTGCATAAATGCAGATGGCGCTAGAGGATTGTCTCAGCTCTGCCTGCTCAATGCAAACTGCTGGAAAGAGGTCTGAAAATAGCTTTTCCTTTAGGCATATCAGAAGTGGAGTATAGTTAGAGAATCTGAATGGTAAATTCAAGCTGCCAAGGGGCTGACAGGTCTCAAGGACAACAAGGTCTCCCCATCTCAGGTTAGTTTCCCTGCATTCCTTGCTCTGTTATGGTTAACTACATCAACTGCTCCTATTATTTTCTCCCTGTGGCTTTTAAGCCCCTCTTTTTCTTCAGAAAGGTAAGTTGTCTGTCAATATGCAGGGAGGCACTTTTTAAAAACAAATGAGAAAAGCCTTATTTCTCCCCAAGCCAACACCAAATTCCCAGACCCTCTCCTGAAACACTTTACAATTAGCACTCCACTTCTACTCATAGCACATATGGAATGAGAAGGCAAACACAAATGAAACTCCTTTTAGGTGGAGCAGGAATTCAATCAGCCTAGGGAGCACACCGGTAGCTAGTTATATGCCTCTTCCTGACCCCCTCACAGCACTTTTAAATAGAAGAAAAAAAAGTTTCCCACCTACCCATTTCCTCACTGTGATTCCAAGGTTATTTTTGTGACTTTCCCTTTTCCTCTGCACATAGCAGCTCCCGTTCTATTTTAGGATGGGGAGCACAGAGTGTGCACCTGAACTATACCAGTGGGTAGGTAAGGCTCTGTGGCCTCCAAGTAAAGCTACAATCAGGATGGCCATTTCTAGGGTTTAAAGCTATGAATCTGTAAGTTAGACTTGCATAAAACCAGTAAGACAATGTTGAAGCTGACACCTTTGCTTTCTTTAAGTTTCTTCTCTTCAGTCCTATTCCATACTCCCTGTAGATTTTAAAATGTAGGCACAATCTCTCATTTAAGGAGACTTATTTCTTAGCTGGTGGGTCTAGAAGATTGAAAAAGACAATTGAGTGATGAGGCAATGTGTACATCACCACCCCGCCCCCCCCTTCTCCTCCTGCTGTGGGAGAGCCCAAATGGCCCCTTGCACTGCTGACTCCCCCCACGGTGGCCCGGCTGAGGGGCACTGCACTCAGCTGAGTGCCACAGAGGGAGGGGAAGGGGAGGGGAGCAGTGATGGACACAGCCCCACCCCCAGCTGTGTACATCACTGCCCTGATCCCTTCCTCTCCTTCTGTGGTGGCTCAGCTGAGAGTTGCATGCTCAGCCGGGCCGCCACAGGAAAGGAGAGGCGGGTAGGGTTGCCAGGCGTCCAGCATTGTACTAGACAGTTTGGTATTTTCACACTGTCCGGTTAAAAAAAAAATCAGAAAATACTGGACATGTGCAGTGTCCGGTATTTTCTGATTTTTCCAGCTGTGCAATGGATGGAAGCCTGGTGGGGGGAGTGGCTGGGCGTCCCGGCTGGGAGGCGGGCCCGTGATTGGCGCTGGGAGCCA